AATAATGTATAATAAATTTTTTAAACTTTTAAATACTTATTAATGAATTTATCATTTTTAGATCGAGTTGGAGAATTTAAATGATGCAACAGATGATATAAACAAACTTGAAACTGAATTGGATGTAAGTTACAATTATTAATTCTTTTGCAATGAAACTTATACATTTGTATTTTGGATATCATCATCATTATAGAATTATTTATAAAATTTTATATGTTGTTGTATGTAACAATTTGTATAAATTTTTGCAGTCATTTACATGTAGTTGAATTATTTAAAATATAAATATTGCAAAACATTTATAGAATAAGTTACATGTATAGTAATTTATAAATAAACTATAAATACATAGAGAAATGTATAATATTTTGTTTCTTTCTTAGAATCATGTGTGAATAGTTTAGTTTTTACATTTATTATTCTTTTCCAGAAAATATTAAGATGTATACCATATATTTTCATATTCAAAATATCACATATATATATTAAATTAGCTTTCATTGGGTACCATTTAAATATATATTAGCATTAGAAGTAATTATAGTTTACAAAACTAATGTAAAATATAATATAATATTATTCTAATACTATATTATTTTTAAATATAATATTCAATGTTTAGGAAGCTCAAACTGCTTTTAGACAGTTATTATGTGAAACTACCAAAAGATTAACAGAAATATTAAATAAAGTAGGAAATAGTTGTGTTGAGAAGGCAAGATGCTATTATGAAGCACTTGAAGTAGCACGTGAAGCTCAGGTGAGAAAATAATTATGAAATTGATAAAATTTCAAGAAATTATTAAAATATTTTTTTATGTAGATAAAATGTCAACAGCAAGCTCAACTATTTCAAAGAGCAAGTGAAATTCATGCAGCAGCGAAAGAAACTGTAACACTAGCTGAAAGTAGGTTTATGTCACATCAACATGAATGGAATTTTGATCAAGCTTGGCAAGATATGTTAAATCACGCGACTCTTAAAGTAAGTTATTATGTATTAAACTAAACTTTAATTTCAACAAATTGATGAAGAAAAAGTAATGTGAAAATTTTAGTTTAACTTATTTTAATATATTTTGACATAGGTTATGGATGCTGAAAATCAAAAAGCAGAATGTGGCAGAGAACATTATAGAAGGGCAGTGTTGTTTCATGATGCCGAAAAGCGACTGTTACAACTAGAAGAAAAACATCGTCGTGCCATAATAAAAGCACGACCATATTTTGAAGTTAAAACTCAGTGTGATCAAATGTTAGCAACGCAAAAAGAACGAGTTGAATATTTGCAAAAAGCAATACAAGATGCAAAGACTAATTATGCCTCAAGTCTCCGTAGATTAGAGGAAATTAGTAATCAAATACATCAACAGCGCCGAGATTATGGTACTTTTATCATTTAATATTACTTCGATAAATAATTACTTATATTCAAATATTTTAATTTTTAGTTAAATATTTTATATGATATGTAAATTACATGCGCTAAATTATGTTTTTAGATTTTATAGCTAACGGACCTCGAGAACCAGGTGTTGGTGCAGAATTAGTTAGCCCACGAAAAACTTCAAATTATGATATTGAATTTAATCAACTAAATGGCAATAAAATAAAAGATATTACGAGTAATCAATTGAATAAATTTAATAGAATACAAGATTATGATGTTAATAAACACACGGTAATTTTTTTTTGCAATAAAAATTTGTATACTAATGGTTTCACACCTATTCTTAACTATTTATTATGTTACAGAATACTTGTCAATTACAAGAAGATACTGAACATCTTGGAAAAAGATCAGTTGATGGAAGTGAAGCAACATCTTCTCAATGGGAGTTAGAACTAGAAGTTAATACAGAAAATATAAATAATTTATCTCTTGAGAATTCTGTACATGATCATGACAGTAAAACCGGAAGTATATCCAACTTACATTTTTATAATGAGGAAAATTCAAAATCAAATGCTTTCTTGTCAGAATTAAGTTATAATTCGTTGCAAACTAGAGATTATTCCACACAAAATTTAAATCAATCTAAAAAAATGTCGAAAAATTTTCAAATTTCAAAAAATCAATTTATAAATATGCCTTTAATGACACATGCTGAGGAATCAAATGCGGTAAAGAATGAAATTACTAATTCAGCAATGTTAAACGAAGATAAAATTAATTTTAAGAATAATATATCGAAGTCATTAAATAATAGTCCTACAAAAACAAATGTATTTAATTTAAGATCGGTATTTGCTGAAAAGGGGCTTCGTAAAAGTATAACAAAATATGTGCCAAATAACGTCTTCAGTTTTGGTTTTAGTAATAACAAATCTCAAAGCAGTAACGATATTAATTTATCTTCGAACCTCGATACCAATACTATAGAAAAATATCAAAGTTTGGATGATATTATAGGTGATAAGACTGATAATCTCGAATTTGATAAGCAAGTCATAAATTTAAAATATAATACACGATCGTTTACAATGAAAGAAACTTATGATAATGGTCTAAATGCTGCAAAAAACTTATATTCTGCACAATTAAGTAATTTTGATAGAATAAATTTAGAATCGAAACCAGAAATAATACCAGAAAAAAATGGGTTTAAGTCTAAGTCTATACAATTCTTATCTTTTAGTGCCAGTACATCACCAGTAAAGGTAAAAAAGTTAACGAGTTTATCAAATGAAAACTTCTTGAATCGAAAATTATTTGGTGATTCTAATAAATCTTCTGTTGAAAAATTTATAGAAAAACCATTAAACATTAAGGAATTGCCATTGTTATCATTATTTGAAAAAGTTAATTTACTGGCAGATAGTAAAAATAAAAGTTGTAGTATGATTAATTTAGCTGACAAACGAAATTTTGTATCATTAGATGATTTACACCTGAATAATACAAAAACGTCAAGTACAGAAAGATTGACAAGTTTGAAAAGTTATTTATTTTTAAAAACTATAAATTAAGCTAAAAAAATTATAATCAAATAAAAAAATGTGATATAAACTTCATATAAAAGCTTTTAAGTTTAAACATTATTTAATTTTGTAAATGAAATTGTGCTATTTTTAACTATGAAAAAGTTAAACAGTACTAACTTTACAAATTTCAATAATTATATTATATCAGTGCAAAACATGTAAGTTTCGTACATCTGAATTTGAAACTTTATAACGCGTTTGCATGTGTAACAAAAGCCACTGTGTGAGAAACTTTACGTATTTATAATTGTATTTCATAAGAAGTACATAATTTGTATTCATTTTTAATTATGGTAAATATTGAAAAAATAACCAATTAAATCATTTTTCATTAGCGTTTATTTTCAGTCGGCTTTTTTCATTTTTACAGTGCTTTTATTGATTGTGCATGTTTATTATCAATTCCCACGTTATACAAAATTTTATATTAACAAAATGTAATAAGATTTTAGCCATACCTGTCACATTATTAAAGCTTCTTACTATAGTGTAATCATTGCACCCAAATGAAGCATTAAGAAATTTTCCTATACCTATTTTTATTACTTCATGTTACTGTATTATTGTAATTCAAATAGTACTGCATATATTTACTGTATTTTGTAAATCTTTGGAATCTCTTTTTTTATATATTTATTTTTTGGTAATATCACTATTATATTCATATCATCGAGTTAAAAATTTCATTTAGATGTTTTATGTAACAAATGGTTACGTTTAATAATTTTTTCGTGTTTTGTAAAATTATATTATTTATTAAATTGTTACTTGGTGATATGCTTTAAATGTAATTATGACGTTTCATTGATATTATTAAAGTTGACTTTAAGGTGGTATTTTAATTAGACTTTCAAGTACAAACATATGCATGGTTATTGTATACTAAGTGTTTAGTATAAAATAGCGATTACTTTGATAACAGTAATTTTGTACATACCAATAATTTTATAAATGAAAATAATTAATAAAGATTATCAGTAGGATTTGTTTTGCGCTCTGCATGCAAGTAGTGTTAACTACTATATCGATGCATGTAGTTCTATACTATTTTCTCTAAATATTGATATGAGAAAATTGTGAAAAAACAATTAAATACATTACCTTTATGACATAGAAATGATTGAAAACATCTATTATTAATAAAAATTATATTA